TGGGGGTACGGTGGGTAGTGGTACCAACCGACACCGCGTTGCCAGCGTTTCACTGCGGTAGAGTAGATGGTGATACCAACAATCATCACATTAGATGTGATTCCAATGAAAACTGAATGACAACGCAGAAATTATATGGACAGATAGTGTGTGTTTGTGTGATAACAAGTGATTGCCACATATGGAGGTACTTTGTAGCGTGGAGGTAAACGGTCTTGCAATTTAGGAGGCAAAGAAATAAAATGCGATTTCGCAATATGCCGGATTATATTACTTTTGGTTGTAAACCTTCTTTGACATATATTACAGTCGAACTTGCAGTGTATTTTGTGTATGTTTTTCTCAGAATCGTTTTCTATAGTTTTGTTCAAACTGCAATCCATGGTCTTTGTTTTGTTTAAGGTATCGGTCGCTTTACACGGAAAATGAATACTGCAACATGTATGGAATATAATAGATTAATTTAAGACAAATATACTTTGATATTATACAGCAAGTATTAATATACTAATATTAAATGTACAACGCATCATTTTTAAGAATTCATTTTATTGATTTTACATGACATACAATAAGTCTACTATTAAGCTATTTTTATTTGATTGTGTTGCCTAAACTTATCCTATAAAATACAATGTAACGTTCGCATTTATTAGAATATGGACAATAAACATCCGAGTGCCATAAGATTTAAAACTTAAAAAGTGTACTCTATCTAAAGTCCACTTTTACATTGAGTACCTTAAGACATTTAAATGACCGACGTCTTTTAACCCTTAACTCGGCAGAAATAAAAAAATTCACATGAAACGACTAAATTATATTTTTAACATGAATATGGCTTTTGGATCGGGGACATTAAGAAAATCTTGCGTGCGTGCGTGAATGACGCTGAACGTTACAAAGGACAATGTGTGCGTGTGGCGCTATTAAGCGGATGTTTTGTGAACTTAAAGAGCTGATAAATAATTTTTAATGTCTGGCTAAAAATTAGAGATATGCGATTAGAGATATTATAGATAAGATATAAAATGTACGATATTTTAGATACAAAATGTAGAGATATAATATTAGAAATAAAATATGAGAGATAAGAAACGGGACATATCCATATAATAAATACCTCTTTGAAAAGAAAACAAAATGTGACTAATTAATAATATTTTATAAAGTTTTAAGTATTTTACTATGAGGACATTACTTATAGTCTATTTCATTAAAATTTTCTATCAACTTTTAATTTTTATTTATGATAATTAAAAAATGTATTTAATAAAAATTAAACTAAACCCCATTACTTATTACATTATTTTTTTTTTATAACTGTTAACATTAAGTTTTTATTTTAAAAAATTACACCTGTTCGCATTTTTTTTCTATTTTAATGTATGAATGTTTTTATATATGTATATAAATAAACACGGTAAGTCTCATGCAAACGCAAGCGTAAGCTGACATTATGCGATTCTGCAGACGTCGACCGGTCATCATACCCACAAATAAATAACAATTTTTTTTTTTTTTGATACTTTGATTTAACATTATATTGATAAGAGGTAGATGCGGTTTTAAAACAATCTGGTATTATATGTATAAGTGGTTCCTATAATAAGTTTAATAACGGAACGCTAACATCGATACCAACGAAGGGTTTATAGAGGAGAACAACATAATTCAAGTTCATAGGTATATTTTGTGTTTTTTAAACATTTAAAACTAAATTTTAATTTATCTTAATTAGATCAATAACACAAAACTACAAGTATGACTTTTAGATAAAAAGCTAATACCATAAAGATTTAAGCTGGACAATAGCTCATTTGGCCGACTAAATTTAAAGTGGTAATAATCTTTACTTATGTATTATATATGTATATATTAATATAAATAATATAATCCCTTATGTTTTATAATAGCCTAAAAACAAGCTATAAGTATAGAAAAAGGAAAAGATAAGTGGATTACGTTACTCACTGCTTTCCAGAGCTGCTAATAAAAACTTGTAAAAATTATTGACATGCAAGACAAAACTCAAATATAATGCAACTTGAAACGAAATAAAGAAACACAACGTAATACGTTTGGTATTTATCACAGAATTCGACCAAGTTATTATGATTAAAATCTAGAGTTGTTCACGAATCAAACCCGTGGCGACAATACAGAAAACAAATTGCTAAATCTAATTTAACTAGTTTGATTTACACAACTTCAGAGTGTACAATAATAAATCTTAATTGCTAACAAAATCAAAACTTTTATTTTATAATAATTGTGATTTTAATGCAAACCGCACAGTGCACGACAACGCAGAAATTGTATGGACAAATAGTGTGTGTTTGTGTGATAACGAGTCATTTCCACAGATGGAGGTACTTTGTAGCATGGAGGTAAACTGTCGTGCTTTTTAAGAGGCAAACAAATCAATACCCCAACACTTGTATTAAAGCTTTTTGTAAACTAACCTTCATCGACATCCTATAAAATTAATAAGTTTACCTAAGGCCTTATCTGCCATGGACACACTTTTCCTATGGCGTTAAATCGAATTTAACTAGCTTGATTTACAGAACTTCAGCAGAGTGTACAAATTTTAATCTTAATTAAAAATCAAAACTTTTATTTCAATTGTGATTTTAATGCAAACTGCACGGTGCGCGACACAACGCAGAAATTGTATGGACAGATTTGTGATAGTGTGCGTTTGCTTGATAACGAGTGATTGCCACAGATGGAGGTACTTTGTAGCGTGAAGGTAAACTCTCGTGCATTTCAAGAGGCAAATAAATTAAATTCCAAACTCTTGTATCAAAGCTTAATAAAAGAAATAACACAATAAAACCCTTTTTTTCCCAAATGCATTATTTAACAACTATAAACAATTATACTATATTTCTAAAAGTGTTTAACCATTAGACTGTATTTAGTCTTAGTGAAATATACTTTTCATTTTAACTACACTGTCTTAAACGAGCCTCAACATAGGCAAAGTAGTAGAATTAAAATGATTTTTTTTAAACTTTTATTTTTGCTATAATATTATAATTGTTTAAGCGAAATGTGCACTAAGCGTACATTTTTTTCGAGAAACTAAATATGTGCTGGCTTTTGTGTTAATAGTTGGATTATTTAAATTACTTGGTTTTTTTTATCATAAAAGAAAATCTCACATTTAAAAAAACTATTCTATCCGTATGCAAGTTAGTTTTGTCTTTTCATAAAATCTCAAGAAAATGTATTGTTAGTATTACTAATTTTGTGTTACTCTCAATATAACAATGTAATAATATTACAAACATTTTACATAATATATATATATATATATATGTTATTGTATATAAACTTAGTATATATTACTATTATAGTATTTACCTAAAACTTAAGTTACCTTATCGATTTAATGGTAGGGCTTAGGTTCACACTCTCAGTGACATGATGGAGTCTGGAGGTTGAAGACATGGTGAATGAGTATCTAAATTCTAAATATAATGAAAATAATAAGGTATCAATGAACTCCTCATATTAGTTAATCCATGTCAACTGATAGTAGGTTAATTAAATTGCTCGTGTAATACTGTATATTTCTAGCAGTATTCAGTACTCTTTGTTCTATTGGTAATCACATATTATATTATTTGTTCGTAGAAATGTCATCACAAAAGTAAGGGGAAAATGTACTGGTAAAATTAATATTTAACTCTTTGTTGTTTTTCACCTTGACCATATGGCAGATAGTACATTTTTGAAACTGTGAATACAATTTTATTTCATATTCAAATTTATTTGTTTAAGTAATTATTACAAATTTTAAAACGACTAATTATTTTCAAACAAGTTTTGATATTCGGTAATTAAAAAAAAATCCTCACCCTGGCCATATATCGGATTGCATGGGGATGGGGCTAAACATGAAGAACAAAATAAGTTATCAATGTGAAATTACATAAACATGTGTATTATATACTGTTATGTTATATATGTGGTGAGCGCTCGCGAATGTTCTAGAACGGTCGCGCCGTGCAACACGTGTTGCATGGCCGCCGCCGTCACGTCTCCGCGAGAATCATCCCGAGCGTTCTCACACACCGCAATTGCCGCCCCGAGAATATTCTGTGGCCTATCTAAGCGCCGTACCACCAGACAGTCAGTTCAGTTCAACAATCGCATTCTGTCGAAACACAGTCCCACTCGATACACCGTCTTGCGACATCTCTCGTATTGTTTTATAGTTGTGTTACGTTGTATATTTTGTTTATTGTTAAATATTATTATTTTATTTTATTTAAATATAATATTTACATTTGGTTAGTAGTGACAGTGTTATATTTATTCGCACTCAATACACTTATTAACCATATATAGATACTGTTACTGAATAAGTTTCTGTTTCTTGAGTGTTTATTTCAATGAAAAAATGTTTAACATGTTTAGTTAAAAAGACGTTTTACCTTTTATTTATTAAGCAATTCACTTCGGCATAAGTAATTTTTTGCAAAAACTTCATTTAACGTTTTAACTATAATGGGTAATAAATAAATTTTAATATAAAAAGTTAATAGAATATACTCTACATTTTAAAAAACTTAAATTTTGAAGTTTTAAAAACGAAGTAAACTTTATTTACCCAAAAAGGTAAAAAATAACGAATAAAGCTAGAATTAGTTACATTCACTCATTTCGCTAAATTTGGATACGCCAGAGACTATGTATAGTATCAAGTTGAAAATACGTTAATTTTAGTGGGTTATTTTAGATTAAGAAAGTAGAAGAAATGAACTAGAAAAACGCATCGAGTCAATATCGAGTCAAAACACAAAGCATATTAAATATAAAAAAATGTCCAGTATCGATGCGGAGCTGAGAGTGTATTGATTTTACAAATTTGGTCTCACATTCTTTTGTTTTTTGTGTGTTTAAAAACGCTTAACAAAGCACAATTATTGTAGAAAATATTACAATCAGTAAATATTGTCTGCCAAGAACAGCCTAAAATAATAATAGAAGAAAGTTACTTTTTCAAACAAGTTTAATAAGATACCTAAATCAATTATATTGTGTTAAATAATATTAATATTATGCTATATAATATATAACAGTTTATAGAAAATATTTGTTTACACAGTTTTCGATTTAAGCATATGTTTGTTCATTTTAGTCAAGAAAATAAAAAGTAAATTTATATGGATACATATATTTCTATCAACTTACATAAATACTTAATACATTGGTATCTATTGGTAATGTTTGTACAATCTTCAACTACTCAATTTTTAACAGTGAAACTAAATTGCCAAATTTAATAACATGTTGAGTGCGTATAAAAACACATTGGTTTCACTAAATGTCTTTGTGCAAGTGTATATATGATTGATCAGTTAAACGATAGTAATATTTAAAACATTTTAAGGAAACTAATAAAAATATATTAAATCTGAATTAAATTCCAAGTAAAAAAAATTGCAAATAATAACAAACACGTGTGCTTTTGCTTGATGACTTTTGAGAGTATCTTGGCGACCATATGATTTATCACAGACTGAGCATTTGTGTTGTACCCCACCAATATGTATCCGTGCATGTCTCTTGAGATGAGATTGTTGACGAAATGTTTTTTCACAAACAACACATTTATAAGGTTTCTCACCGGTATGTCTTCTTTCGTGAGTTTTGAAGTTAGATTGTATATTAAAACATTTTTTACAGACATCGCATTTATATGGTTTCTAACTGGTATGTATGCGTTCATAAATTATGACTATTATAATATAATATTGACTGAATGCTTTATCACAGAAACGGCATTTAAATGGTCTCTCGCCGGTATGAACGCGTCAATGTCTTCTCAGGCTTGATTTTAATGAAAATAGGCCATCTTTGTTTGGATTATTTCTTTTGATTTTGCAGATACAATGATTGACTTTATTTTTTTGAGGTGTTATCGTGGGGTATATCGTACCCCACCAATATGTATCCGTGCATGTCTCTTGAGATGAGATTGTTGACGAAATGTTTTTTCACAGACATCGCATTTAAACGGTTTTACGCTGGTATGTATGCGTTCATGAGCTTTTAGGTGATGTTCTCTACCAAACGTTTTTTCACAGACATCGCATTTAAACGGTTTCTCGCCGGTATGAATACGTGCATGGTACTTGAGATGAATTTGTTGATTGAATGTTTTTTCACAGACAACGCATTTATATGGTTTCTCACCGGTATGTATCCGTGCATGTCTCTTGAGATGAGATTGTTGACGAAATGTTTTTTCACAGGCACGGCATTTAAATGGTTTCTCCCCGGTATGAACGCGCCAATGTCTTCTCAGGCTTGATTTTAATAAAAACGTTTTCAAACAAATTCCACATTTAAATAAGCCATCTATGTTTAGAGTATTTCCTTTGATTTTCCTGTTACGATGAGTGACTTTTTTTTTAAGAGGTGTTTTATTTCCAATGGAAGTACTGGAATGCGATTTCGCAATATGCCGAATTATACTATTTTTGGTTGTAAACCTCCTTTGACATATATTGCAGTCGAACCGACGTATTTTGTACATATTTTTCTTAGAATTGTTTTTTATAGTTTCAATAAAATTGCAATCTTTGGTTTTTGTATTTTTTGAGGTATCGGTCGCATTACACGAAAAATGAATACTGCAACACGTATGAAACAAAACAGATTAATTTAGGACAAATATTGATGTTATGCAGCAAGCATTAATATTACTAATATTAAATGTACAATCCATCATACACGCATCCTTTTTAAGAATTAATTTTATTGATTTTACAAGATATACAAAGATCTTCTATTACTTATCGAGTTGCCTGAACTTATTATACATAATACAATGTAACGTTCACATTTATTAGAATATGAACAATAAACATCCGAGTGCCATAAGATTTAAAACTTAAAAAGTGTACTCTATCTAAAGTCCACTTTTACATAGAGTACCTTGAGACTTTTTATGACCGACGTCTTTTAACCTTAAACTTGACAGAAATAATAATAAATTCTCATAAACGACTAAACTATATTTTTGACATGGATATGTCTTTTGGCTTGGGGACATAAAGAAAATCTTTGCGTGCATGCTTGAATGACGCTGAACGCTACCGAGGAAAATGTGTGCGTGTGGCGCGATTAAGCGGATGTTTTGTGAATGAAACAGCTGATAAACAATATTTAATGCCTGGCTAAAAATTAGAGATATGCGATTAGAGATATTATAGATAAGATATAAAATGTAGAGATATAGATATCAGAAATAAAATATGAGAGATAAGAAACGAGACATATCCATATAATAAATACCTCTTTGAAAAGAAAACAAAATGTAACTAATTAATAATATTTTTATAAAGTTTTAAGTATTTTACTATGAGGACATTACTTAAAGTCTATTTCATTAAAATTTTCTATCAACTTTAAATTTTTATTTATGATAATTAAAAAATGTATTTAATAAAAATTAAACAAAACCCCATTACTTATTACATTATTTTTTTTTTTAACTGTTAACATTAAGGTTTATTTTAAAAAATGACACCAGTTCGCATTTTTTTATATTTTAATGTATGAATGTTTTCTATATATGTATATAAAAAAACCCAGTACTTCTTATGCCAACGCAAACGTACGCTAACATCATGCGATGCTGCAGACGTTGACCGGACATCAAACCCACAAATAAATGTTTTCACAATTTTGTTTTTTTGATACTTTGATTTAACATTATATTGATAAGAGGTAGATGCGGTTTTAAAATAATATATTATTATATGAACAAGTGGTTCCTAATATAAGTTTAATAATAGCGATACACTAACATCAATACCAATGATGGGTTTATGGAGGAAGATAACATAATTACAAAAGTTTTAAAGTTTTGCTTAAGAAAAAAAAAATGGTATTAAAAATAACCTTACTCATAATTATTGTCGACTTCATTCTTTACCAAACACTCTTCTGTTGTAGAAATTTCATTGTTTAAGAACTGCATATCTAACGGTTTAGTTTGAACGACTTCAAACGATTTTTCCAACAACTCTTCTTCTGTTTCATCATTTTCAGGTTTAATTTTCAATATATTAAACCGCTTCAAAACTCTATAATTGACATTTAACATTAGTTGTATTTTTGTGCTATATATGCATAGAGGATTAGTAGGACAACTAAATTCACAATTTTAATTATTTTATTTAGTAACAAATATAGTCTACTAAAGATATAATAAAGATAATTTAGTATACATTCTAAATGCAAAAATTGGAAATATTAAAAATTTTAAAAAAATTAGATAGCCTAATCTATTCATAAAAAATGTCTATTTAACTTAAATGAAATTTTTGATACTAAAAAAACATAAATTTTAATATATAGTTTTTGTCATAAAAAATGACATTTATTCGCATTTTTTTTTTTTTAATAAAAGAATGAAAAATAATTGTAAAAATGTTTTCTATATATTTATATAAATAACTCGGTAAGTATCGTTCAAAACTTACGCTAACATAATGTGGTGCTGCAGACAACATACCCACAAATTAAATGTTTACAATTTTTTTTTTTTAATATTTTAATGGATTTTTATATTGATAACAGGTAGATGTAGTTTTAAAACAATCAAACTATTATTAAATGAACAATTGGTTCCTAATATAAGTTTAATGTTAGCGAAACGATTATATTGATACCATCAGGCACAAAATTTAATAGTTTTGTTCAAGATAAAAAAAAAGGTACTAAAAATCGCCTTACTCATAAGTATCATCGACATCATTCTTTACCAAATAATCCTCTACTATAGTTATTTCATTGTTTTTGAACAGTACATCAAACGGTTTTGGTTCAACGGAGTATTCTTCTGCATCGTCATTTTCAGGTTTAATATTCAACATATTATACCGTTTCAAAACTCTGTAATTGACATTGAACTTTAGTTGTATTTCTGTACCACATATGCATAGAGGTTTAAATAGGACTACTAAATTGCAGTTTTAACTATTTTATTAAGTAACAAATAAAGTAATAATAATGATATAGTAAAGAATAATTTAGTTTACATTACTTGTAAAAAACCACTGAGTTTTCAGTAGTATATTTTGTTTTTTTAAACATTTAAAACTTAATTTTAATTTACTCGAATTAAATAAATAACACAAAGCTACAAGCAAGGCTTATAGGTAAGAAGCTAACACAATAAAGATCAAAGCTAGACGATTGGCCATTTTGCCGACTAGATTACTTTAAAATGGTGTTGATCCTATATTACTCTACTCAACTCCGGATAACTAATAAGTAACAAGCTACCAAATAAATTATGATTCTTTTTATTCAAAAGCAGTGTTTTAAGTCCGCGGGAGACAGTAAACGCGGCAATAATGTATATAAATTAGAAATACAAAACAATAGGTACTCACACAACGTAGAACCATAAACCACCTTCCAGCGCTGCTAATAAAACTTATAATAAATTATTGACATGCAAGACAACATTAAGTTTTTATTTTAAAAAATTACTCATGTTCGCATTTTTTTTCTATTTTAATGTATGAATGTTTTTATATATGTATATAAATAAACACGGTAAGTCTCATGCAAACGCAAGCGTAAGCTGACATTATGCGATTCTGCAGACGTCGACCGGTCATCATACCCACGAATAAATAACAATTTTTTTTTTTTTTGATACTTTGATTTAACATTATATTGATAAGAGGTAGATGCGGTTTTAAAACAATCTGGTATTATATGTATAAGTGGTTTCTAAAATAAGTTTAATGATAGCGAAACGCTAACATCGATACCAACGATGGGGTTATGGAGTGGGACAGCATAATTCATAAGTTGAAAAATAATAGTAAAAAAGTTTTCTATATATTTATATTAAATATAACACGGTATGTATCGTGCGAGCGTACACTAACATAATGTAATATTGCAGACATCATACCCACAAATTAATCAAATACAATTTTTTTTTTTAATATTTTGATTTAACTTTATATTTATAAGAGGTAGATGTAGTTTTAAAACAATCTATTATTATATGAACAAGTAGTTCCTATAATAAGTTTAATAACGGAATGCTAACATCGATACCAACGAAGGGTTTATAGAGGAGAACAACATAATTACAAGTTCATAGGTATATTTTGTGTTTTTTAAACATTTAAAACTAAATTTTAATTTATCTTAATTAGATCAATAACACAAAACTACAAGTAAGACTTGTAGATAAAAAGCTAATACCATAAAGATTTATGCTAGGCGATAGCCTATTTGACCAACTAACTTGATCCTTTAACATGTATTGTTTATACATAACCGAAATAGTATTTACCAAACAATTATTTTAAAAGAGATAATTTACTGAAAATGTTGACGTATTGTTAACAAGTAAAATAATCTCTAACGTTTATATAATATAAACCATAATACTATAAACATATGACTATACAAAATACTATACACACTAATCATCTATAATAGCTAAAAAAACAAGCTAAGTATAAAAGAGGGTAATAATAAGTGGATTAGGTTACTCAAGGAAAGTTTAAATATCTCTTTACTTTTTTTAACGTTGAAAATAATTATTTAAACAATATTATTAATACTATTTTGTAAATTATTAAGGACATTGATTTAATTTTTTTTTTTAAATTACTGAGGACTACAGCATTACAAAAGCTTTTTTGTTTTATTTAGTAAACACAAAATATTAATACAAATAGCCTTACTCATAAGTATTGTCGACTTCATTCTTCACCAAATACTCCTCTGTTGTAGATATTTCATTGTTTTCAAACGGCACATCCAACGGTTTTGGTTCAACGGCTCCAAACGTTGTTTGAAAAAAGTATTTTTCTGTTTCATCAATTTCATCTTTAATTTTCAACATATTATAACGCTTCAAAACTCTATAATTGACATTTAACACAAGTGTTATTTCTGTATCGTATATCCAAATAGGTTAAAAAAGGACAAATACATTGCATAATTTTAACTATTTTATTAAGTAACAAATAAAGTAAGATTAATAACACAAAGCTACAAGCATGACTTGTAGGTAAGAAAGCTAACACAATAAAGATCAAAGCTAGACGATTGCCCATTTTGCCGACTAGATTAATTAAAAATGGTGTTGATCCCATATCACTCTACTCAACTCCGGGTAATTAATAAGTAATAAGCAACCAATTATAAATTATGATTCTTTTTATTCACAAGCAGTGTTTTAAGTCCACGGGAGACAGTAAACACGGCAATAATGTATATAAATTAGAAATACAAAACAATAGGTACTCACACAACGTAGAACTGCCTTCCAGAGCTGCTAATAAAAACTTCTAATAAATTACTGACATGCAAGACAAAACTCAATTGTAACTTGAAACTAAATAAAGAAACACAACGCAGTACGTTAGGTATTTATCACAGAATTTGACCAAGTAATTATGATTAAAATCTAGATATTCTCACGAAGCGGGGCCGTGACGACAATGCAGAAAACAAATTGTACCTAGGGCGCTCAATCTAATTGTTTCACTAGTTTGATTCACAGAACTTCAGCAGAGTGTACAAATTTTAATCTTAATTAAAAATCAAAACTTTTATTTCAATTGTGATTTTAATGCAAACTGCACAGTGCACGATACAACGCAGAAATTGTATGGACAGATTTGTGATAGTGTGCGTTTGCTTGATAACGAGTGATTGCCACAGATGGAGGTACTTTGTAGCGTGAAGGTAAACTGTCGTGCATTTTCGGAGGCAAATAAATTAAATTCCAAACTCTTGTATCAAAGCTTATTAAAAGAAATAACACAATAAAACCTTTTTTTTTTCAAATGCTTCTATATTTTACGATTTAAAACACTAAACAATTATACTATATTTCTAAAAGTGTTTAACCATTAGACTGTATTAGTCTTAGTGAAAAATACTTTTCATTTTAACTACATTGTCTTAAACGAGCCTCAACAAGGCGGAGTAATTTAACAACCCGTCAAATTAAATATGTCACAATCAAAGAGGCGGATAGCCGATGTCTTAGACGAACATGTTGAGCCACGTCAAAATGGTGCATGCCCAAACAAAAGTGGCACTTACGAATAGTTCTTTAAACATAGACGATATTTGACGAACACTTAAACAGATTGTTCATTATGGTCATATAATTTATCCATTTACATAAATCTTTTAAAATTCCAATATTATAGTAATTATTTGAAAAAGATGTTTATAAAAAATATAAGTCTCAATATAAAACTAATGTTATTACTCTCAAACACGGTATTATGTTTTCTTGGGAACTAATCACACAAATATATTGAACAAAATTATTTTTACTAATTATTTAATAATAAACGTATATATTGAAGTAGGCATATTCTGCTGACTTTCCCGAATGGCATTTATTAATAATGGTCAGGTTAGGTTTACTGTCATTCAAACTTAATAATTCTTCGAATTAAAAAAACGAAAAACTTATTCTAAAAAATATGAATGAAACTAACATAATATAATCATAATTGACGAAATAATAATACATTTTATTTTGAATTTTAAACATGGTCCGCATAATTCAACGCATGAAAATAAGCAAATATTTTAAATTAAAAATCAATTTTAAAATACAAATTAACATATATTATAAACAATTTTTCTTAAAAACCATCAGTAACTAAAAAAGACTACTAACATTTTATAATAAAAATTACGAATAGTAACAATATTTTTTAACATATTGCATGTGTAGATTATGAAAGTTAAAAAAAAATATATAAGAAAACTAATTAAAGTATATTAAATCTGAATTAAATCGTAAGTAAAAAAAATTGCAAAATAATAACATATTTATTTTGAAAAACTATTTTAAAACTGCCAAATAGCCACGTAAGGTTTGGGAATCTATGAGCCGTGTGCTTTTGCTTGATGCCTTTTGAGAGTATATTGGCGACCATACGATTTGTCACAGGCTGAGCATTTGTATCGTACCCCACCAATATGTATGCGTTCATGAATTATGAGATAGGACTTTTGACTGAATGTTTTTTCACAGACATCGCATTTAAACGGTTTCTCGCCGGTATGTACACGTGCATGGTTCTTGAGATCAGATTGTTGAATGAATGTTTTTTCGCAGACATCGCATTTAAACGGTTTCTTGCCGGAATGTATACTTGCATGTTTTTTGAGATGAATTTGTTGACTGAATGTTTTTTCACAGACATCGCACTTAAAAGGTCTCTCGCCGGTATGTATCCGTGTATGTTTCTTTAGTTCAGATTGTTGAATGAAGGTTTTTTTACAGATATCGCATTTAAACGGGTTTTCACCAGTATGTGTGCGTTTATGAATTTTTAGGTGTTGTTGTGTACCAAATGTTTTTTCACAGACATCGCATTTAAACGGTTTCTCGCCGGTATGAATACGTGCATGTCTCTTGAGAGCAGATTGATGACTGAATGTTTTTTCACAGACATCGCACTTAAAAGGTTTCTCGGCGGTGTGTATGCGTTCATGAGTTTTGAGGTGAGATATCTGACCAAATTTTTTTTCACAAATATTGCATTTAAAGGGCTTCTCGCCGGTATGAATACGTGCATGTGTCTTGAGAGCAGATTGATGACTGAATGTTTTTTCACAAATATTGCATTTAAAGGGCTTCTCGCCGGTATGAATACGTGCATGTGTCTTGAGAGCAGATTGATGACTGAATGTTTTTTCACAGACATCGCATTTAAACGGTTTCTCGCCGGTATGAATACGTGCATGTCTCTTGAGAGCAGATTGATGACTGAATGTTTTTTCACAGACATCGCACTTAAAAGGTTTCTCGGCGGTGTGTATGCGTTCATGAGTTTTGAGGTGAGATATCTGACCAAATTTTTTTTCACAAATATTGCATTTAAAGGGCTTCTCGCCGGTATGTATCCTTTTATGAATTTTGATGTAAGATAGGTCGCAATTGGACTGTGTTTTACACGAAAAATGAATACTGCAACACGTTTGAAACAAAACAAATTAATTTAAGAAAAATATATTTTGATGTTATACAGCAAGTTTTAATATTAAATATACAACGCATCCTTTTTAAGAATTAATTTGATTAATTTTAGATGACATACAAAAGTCTTCTTAACTCAATTTTTATTTGATCGAGTTGCCTAAACTTATCCTACATAATACAATGTAACGTTCACATTTATTAGAATATGGACAATAAACATCCGAGTGCCATAACAAGTGGTTACTAATATAAGTTTCATAATAGCGAAGTGCTAACATCGATACCAATGGTGGGTTTATGGAGGATGATAACATAAGTACAAAAGTTTTAAAGTTTTATTTAAGAAAAAAAAAAATGGTAATAAAAATAACCTTACTCATAATTATTGTCGACTTCATTCTTAACCATACACTCTTCTGTTGTAGAAATTTCATTGTTTAAGAACTGCATATCTAACGGTTTAGTTTGAACGACTTCAAACGATTTTTCCAACAACTCTTCTTCTGTTTCATCATTTTCAGGTTTAATTTTCAATATATTAAACCGCTTCAAAACTCTATAATTGACATTAAACATTAGTTGTATTTCTGTGCTATATATGCATAGAGGATTAGTAGGACAACTAAATTCACAATTTTAATTATTTTATTTAGTAACAAATAAAGTCTACTAATGATATAATAAAGATAATTTAGTTTACATTCTAAATGCGAAAATTAATCATATAATAAATTCAAAAAAAATTAGATTACCTAATCTATTCATAAAAATTTCTATTTAACATAAATGAAATTTTTGATAGTAAAAAAACATGAATTTTAATATATAGTTTTTGTAATAAAAAATGACACTTATTCGCATTTTTTATTAACTTAATAAAAGAATGAAAAATTATTGTAAAAATGTTTTCTATATATTTACATAAATAACTCGGTAAGTATCGTACAAAACGTACGCTAACATAATGTGGTGCTGCAGACAACATACCCACAAATTAAATGTTAACAATTTTTTTTTTAAAATATTTTTATGGATTTTTATATTGATAAGAGGTAGATGAAGTTTTAAAACAATCAATCTATTATTAAATGAACAAGTGGTTCCTAATATAAGTTTAGTCTTAGCGAAACGCTTATATTGATACCATCAGGCACAAAATTTAATAGTTTTGTTCAAGATAAAAAAAAAGGTAATAAAAATCGCCTTACTCATAAGTATCATCGAATTCATTCTTAACCAAATAATCCTCTACTATAGATATTTCATTGTTTTTGAACAGCACATCAAACGGTTTTGGTTCAACAGAGTATTCTTCTGCATCGTCATTTTCAGGTTTAATATTCAACATATTTTACCGTTTCAAAACTCTGTAATTGACATTGAACTTTAGTTGTTTTTCTGTACCACTTATGCAAAGAGGTTTAAATAGGACTACTAAATTGGAGTTTTATCTATTTTATTAAGTAACAAATAAAGTAATAATAATGATATAGTAAAGAATAATTTACTTCACATTACTTAAAAAAATAAAAACCAATGAGTTTTCAGTAGTATATTTTGTTCTTTTAAACATTTAAAACTTAATTTTAATTTACTCGAATTAGATAAATAACACAAAGCAACAAGCATGACTTATAGGTAAAAAGCTAACACAATAAAGATTAAAGCTAGACGATTGGCCATTTTGCCGACTAGATTACTTTAAAATTGTGTTGATCCTATATCACTCTACTCAACTCCGGATAAATAAGTAACAAGCAACCAAATAAAAATTATGATTCTTTTTATTCAGAAGCAGTGTTTTAAGTCCGCGGGAGACAGTAAACACGGCAATAATGTATATAAATTAGAAATACAAAACAATAGGTACTCACACAATGTAGAACCGTAAACCGCCTTCCAGAGCTGCTAATAAAAACTTCTAATAAATTATTGACATGCAAGACAAAACACAATTGTAACGAAATAACGAAACACGACGCAATACTTAAGGTATTTATCGCAGAATTCGACCAGGTTATTATGATTGAAATCTAGAGATGTTCACGAATCGGACCCGTGGCACCAATACTGCAAACAAATTGGCAGTTTTATTTATTTAAATATAATAGCTTGTATATTTACCTAACGTGTACAGCACAAAGTTATTAACAAATCAGGGACAAGATTACAAATTATTAACGAACAAGATTCGACACAAGTAATTAACAGAATGTCTGCTTGAAAAAAAGACGCCGAGCGTGTAGACGATGTCGTGCGAGATTATCGATTGGCGGACCGAAGATGGCAGCTGGCTAGCAGCTGGGCCGGCGTCTTAACGCTACACCCGGCGCAGTAGGTGGTACGGTAGGTAGTGGTACCAACCGACACCGCGTTGCCAGCGTTTCACTGCGGTAGAGCAGGTGGTGATACCAACAATCACCACGTTAGTTGTGATTTCAATGCAAACTGAATGACAACGCAGATATTATATGGACAGATAGTGTGTGTTTGTGTGATAACAAGTGATTGCCACATATGGAGGTACTTTGTAGCGTGGAGGTAAACGGTCTTGCAATTTAGGAGGCAAAGAAATAAAATGCGATTTCGCAATATGCCGGATTATATAACTTTTGGTTGTAAACCTTTTTTGACATATATTACAGTCGAACCGACGTTTTTTGTGTATGTTTTTCTCAGAATCGTTTTCTATAGTTTTGTTTAAACTGCAATCCATGGTTATTTTTTTTTTTTTTTGATACTTTGATTTAACATTATATTGATAAGAGGTAGATGCGGTTTTAAAACAATCTGGTATTATATGTATAAGTGGTTTCTAAAATAAGTTTAATGATAGCGAAACGCTAACATCGATACCAACGATGGGGTTATGGAGTGGGACAGCATAATTCATAAGTTGAAAAATAATAGTAAAAAAGTTTTCTATATATTTATATTAAATATAACACGGTATGTATCGTGCGAGCGTACACTAACATAATGTAATATTGCAGACATCATACCCACAAATTAATCAAATACAATTTTTTTTTTTTAATATTTTGATTTAACTTTATATTTATAAGAGGTAGATGTAGTTTTAAAACAATCTGTTATTATATGAACAAGTACTTCCTATAATAAGTTTAATAACGGAACGCTAACATCGATACCAACGAAGGGTTTATAGAGGAGAACAGCATAACTACAAGTTCATAGGTATATTTTGTGTTTTTTAAACATTTATAACTAAATTTTAATTTATCTTAATTAGATCAATAACACAAAACTACAAGTATGACTTGTAGATAAAAAGCTAATACCATGAAGATTTAAGCTGGACAATAGCCCATTTGGCCGACTAAATTTAAAGTGGTATTAATCTTTACTTATGTATTATATATGTATATATTAATATAAATAATATAATCCCTAATGTTTTATTATAGCCTATAAACAAGCTACAAGTATAGAAGAAGGAAAAGATAAGTGCTTTGATTTAACATTATATTGATAAGAGGTAGATGCGGTTTTAAAATAATATATTATTAAAGGAACAAGTGGTTCCTTTTATAAGTTTAATAATAGCGAAACACTAACATCAATACCAATGATGGGTTTATGGAGGAAGATAACATAATTACAAACGTTTTAAAGTTTTGTTCAAGAAAAAAAAATGGTAATAAAAATAACCTTACTCATAATTATTGTCGACTTCATTCTTTACCAAACACTTATTTGTTGTAGAAATTTCATTGTTTATGAACTGCATATCTAGCGGTTTAGTTTCAACGACTTCAAACGATTTTTCCAACAACTCTTCTTTTGTTTCATCATTTTCAGGTTTAATTTTCAATATATTAAACCGCTTCAAAACTCTATAATTGACATTTAACATTAGTTGTATTTCTGTGCTATATATGCATAGAGGATTAGTAGGACGACTAAATTGTACAATTTTAGCTATTTTATTTAGTAACAAATATAGTTATAATAATGATATAACAAAGAAGACAGCTTACTGACTAAGTGCCTGAAGCTTGAACATAATAAAAAAGAATAATTTAGTTCACATTATTTTGAAAATATAAACCAACCAATTTTTCAGTGGTAAATTTTTACATGATCAAATTCTAACAGCTGAATTGAATATATTTGGGTTTTAAACTGTGTTTCATTTACAAACTTGTCAGTTTGGTGTTTATTGTTGGACATATCATAATGCGAATCAACTCAGTAATTAACAAAACCCAAATTATTATTCTATTGTGTACTCAGGCTTTTATCATTAATTAGATCAGTAAATTGGACTGTTAAGTATTTTTTAATAATTCTTTATTATACAAAACAAAATTACTCATGTATTCTATCTATATAACTTCTAAAATAAATTAAACAAATATATTAATAAAGTATATATTTCACTAAATATTTTGACTGATCGATAAGTTTTAAATAAAATGTAATGTTTAAAATACTATACAAACTAATCATCTATAATAGCTAAAAAACAAGCTAAGTATAAAAGAGGGTAATGACAAGTGGAGTAGGTTACTCAAGGAAAGTTTAAATATCTCTTTACTTTTTTTAACGCTGAAAATAATTATTTAAACAATATTATTAATACTGTTTTGTAAATTATTAAGGACATTGATTAAATTTTTTTTTTTAATTACGGAGGACTACAGCATTACAAAAGCTTTTTTGTTTTATTTAGTAAACACAAAATATTAATACAAATAGCCTTACTCATAAGTATTGTCGACTTCATTCTTCACCAAATACTCCTCTGTTGTAGATATTTCATTGTTTTCAAACGGCTCATCCAACGGTTTTGTTTCAACGGCGCCAAAAGTTGTTTCAAAGAAGTGTTTTTCTGTTTCATCAATTTCATCTTTAATTTTCAACATATTATAACGCTTCAAAACTCTATAATTGACATTTAACACAAGTGTTATTTCTGTATCGTATATTCATACAGGTTAAATAGGACAAATAAATTGCACAATTTAAACTATTTTATTAAGTAACAAATAAAGTAAGATTAATAACCCAAAGCTACAAGCATGAATTGTAGGTAAGAAGTTAACACAATAAAGATCAAAGCTAGACGATTGCCCATTTTGCCGATTAGATTAATTTAAAATTGTGTTGATCCCTTATCACTCTAATCAACTCCGGATAAATAATAAGTAATACACAACCACATATAAATTATGATTCTTTTTATTCACAAGCAGTGTTTTAAGTCCTCGGAAGACAGTAAACACGGCAATGATGTATATAAATTAGAAATACAAAACAATAGGTACTCACACAACGTAGAACCGTAATCCGCTTTCCAGGGCTGCTACTGAAAACTTATAATAAACTATTGACATGCAAGACAAAACTCAATTGTAATGCTACTTGAAACGAAATAAAGAAACACAACGCAGTACGTTAGGTATTTATCACAGAATTCGACCAAGTAATTATGATTCAAATCTAGATATTCTCACGAAGCGGGGCCGTGGCGACAATACAGAAAACCAATTGTACCTAGGGCGCTCAATCTAATTGTTTCACTAGTTTGATTCACAGAACTTCAGCAGAGTGTACAAATTTTAATCTTAATTAAAAATCAAAACTTTTATTTCAATTGTGATTTTAATGCAAACTGCACAGTGCACGATACAACGCAGAAATTGTATGGACAGATTTGTGATAGTGTGCGTTTGTTTGATAACGAGTGATTGCCACAGATGGAGGTACTTTGTAGCGTGAAGGTAAACTGTCGTGCATTTTCGGAGGCAAATAAATTAAATTCCAAACTCTTGTATCAAAGCTTATTAAAAGAAATAACACAATAAAACCTTTTTTTTTTCAAATGCTTCTATATTTTACGATTTAAAACACTAAACAATTATACTATATTTCTAAAAGTCTTTAACCATTAGACTGTATTTAGTATTAGTGAAATATACTTTTCATTTTAACTACACTGTCTTAAACGAGCCTCAACATAGACATAGTAATTTAACAACCCGTCAAAGTAAATATATCACAATCAAAGAGGCGGATAGCCGATGTCTTAGACGAACATGTTAAGCCAAGTCAAAATGGTGCATGCCCAAACAAAAGTGGCACTTACGAATAGTTCTTTAAATATAGACGATATTTGACGAACACTTAAACAGATTGTTTATTATAGTCATATAATTTATCCATTTACATAAATCTTTTAAAATTCCAATATTTAATAATTATTTGAAAAAGATGTTTATAAAAAAAAAGTCTCAAAATAAAACTAATGTTATTACTCTCAAACACGGTATTATGTTTTCTTGGGAACTAATCACACAAATATATTGAACAAAATTATTTTTTTAATTATTTAATAATAAACGTATATATTGAAGTAGGCATATTCTCCTTACTTTCCCGAATGACATTTATTAATAATAGTCAGGTTTGGTTTACTGTCGTTCAATCTTAATAATTCTTCGAATTAAAAAAACGAAAAACTTATTCTAAAAATATGAATGAAACTAACATAATGTAATCATAGTTGACGAAATAATAAAATATTTTATTTTGATTTTAAACATGGTTCGCATAATTCAACGCTCAAAAATTAACAAACATTTTAAATTAAAAATCAATTTTAAAATACAAATTAACATATATTATAAACCATTCTCTTCAAAACCATTTGTAACTAAAAAGACTACTAACATATTATAATAAAAAATAAGAATAGTAACAATATTTTTTAGCATATTGTGTGTGTAGATTATGAAAATTAAAAAATACATTATAAAAATATAAATACTAAATAATTCATGTGATCCGTCGAAAAAATAAATTAAAAACTAATACTTATGTTATTGATCTGTTAAACGATAGTAATAAATTAAATATTATAAGAAAACTAATAAAAGTATACTAAATCTGAAATAAATCGTGAGTAAAAAAAATTGCAAAATAATAACAAATGGATTTTGAAAAACTGCCAAATAGTCACGTAAGGTTTATGAATCTATGAGCCGTGTGCTTTTGCTTGATGCCTTTTGAGAGTATCTTGGCGACCATATGATTTGTCACAGGCTGAGCATTTGTATCGTACCCCACCAATATGTATGCGTTCATGAATTATGAGATAGGACTTTAAACTGAATGTTTTTTCACAGACATCGCATTTAAATAGTTTCTCGCCGGTATGTGTTCTTTCATGAACTTTGAGGTTAGATTGTATATTAAAACATTTTTCACAGACATCGCATTTAAAGGGTTTCTCTTCGGTATGAATACGTGTATGGTTCTTGAGATGAGTTTGTTGACTGAATGTTTTTTCACAGACAACGCATTTATAAGGTTTTTCACCAGTATGTATCCTTTCATGTTTTTTAAGACTTTGTTGTAGACTAAATGTTTTTTCACAGACATCGCATTTAAACGGTTTCTCGCCGGTATGAATACGTGCATGTCTCTTGAGAGCAGACTGATGACTGAATGTTTTTTCACAGACATCGCACTTAAAAGGTTTCTCGGCGGTGTGTATGCGTTCATGAGTTTTGAGGTGAGATATCTGACCAAATTTTTTTTCACAAATATTGCATTTAAAGGGCTTCTCGCCGGTATGTATCCTCTTATGAATTTTGATGTAAGATTGGTCGCAAAAAGCCTTTTGACAGACATCGCATTTAAACGGTTTTTCGACGGTATGTGTGCGTTTATGAATTTTTAGGTGTTGTTGTGTACCAAATGTTTTTTCACAGACATTGAAAACGTTTTCAAACAATTACCACAATTAAATAGGCCATCTTTGTTTCGAGTATTTCCTTTGATTTTGCTGTTAGGATGATTGACTTTTTGAGGTGTTTTCTTTTCAATGGAATGCGATTTCGTAATATGCCGGATTATATTACTTTTGGTTGTAAACCTCCTTTGACACATATTGCAGTCGAACCGACGTATTTTGTATATATTTTTCTGAAAATGATTATCTATAGTTTCGTTAAAACTACAATCCATTGTCTTTGTATTATTTGAGATATCTGTCGCTTCACACGAAAAATGAATACTGCAACACGTTTGAAACAAAACAAATTAATTTAAGAAAAATATATTTTGATGTCATACAGCAAGTTTTAATATTAAATATATAACGCATCCTTTTTAAGAATTAATTTGATTAATTTTAGATTACATACAAAAGTCTTCTTTACTCAATTTTTATTTGATCGAGTTGCCTAAACTTATCCTACATAATACAATGTAACGTTCACATTTATTAGAATATGGACAATAGTAGTAGTAATTTGGGGCTTTACTGCCCATTTTTACAAATTGTAGTAAATTAAACTAGAAATGAATAACAACATCTCTTTATATAGTATAATACCTTTTATTAATCATAATAATTATAATATTTTATGATTTATCAATCTGTATAGTATAAAATAAACTTATATAAAGGTTTTTTGTCTCTATTATTCAAAGCTAAATCAATTTTAAATTACATAAATTCTACCTAACACACATGAAAATTATCCTGAAGAACCGAATCCTTTTTCTCCTCTATCAGTTTCATCTAATGACCGAAGTTCCCTGAGTTCTGGATACACAATTTTTTCACATATTAGTTGTGCTACTCGATCTCCACGTTGAACGATAAAGTCTACATCAGAATGATTGAATAGGAGAATACCAACGTTTCCGCGGTAATCTTGATCAATTACTCCAGCTAGGATTTAAAAAAAAAAATATATAACATTTTACTTAGTGATTAGATTTTATAAGCATACCTCCAACATCAATAAAATGTTTCCACGCTAATCCTGATCTCGGTGCAATTCGTCCATATGTACCATGTGGTACCACAATTTGTAGATCGGTCTTAATCAATTCTTTTCCATGTGCTACTACAATATATTGGTATGCACTTTTTAGATCGTATCCAGCCGCATGTTGACTTCCTCTAATCGGCGTGTATGCTTTATCGGTTAATTTAGAAAATAAAAGCATTTAAAGTTTTAAACAATCATTCATTCATAATAATCTTTATTTAATTTAACCCTAGCTTCATTTACTAATTTTATCATAGCATCATTCGTTTTTTTGTCTAAACTTTTTTCTAATTTTTTTTCTAATTCATCATTCATTAACGTCATATTTATTTTATTTTCCAAACTAGTGATACATTCTTTGAATGAGTTATTTAATTCAGATTTTATTGTTTCTATTGTATTTTTTGAAACATTAGTTATTGATTCATTATGTGTATTTAGTTTTTTTTTCTAAACTATCTTTTAAACCAGTCTGAGTTTCTAAGATAGAATTTTTTATACTATTTTCCAAATCAATTAATTTCTAATTTAAATATTTACCAACTCCGATTTTATTGAAATGATTTATATGATGACCAAAATAATCCATTATTAATTTAAAAATAGAGATCTTAACAGTGACAAGGACTTCTTATATACTAAAACCAAAACAAAAAAACTATATTATACGAGTTTACGCACTTCTCGGGTAAATGGCGAATACTCAACTATGCGGTCGTGTATTAACATACAATAAGCACTAACACCAGTTAAATTATCATCAGCTTCTATTTCTAAACGTAAGTCAATTGTAGAAGAAATTTCAGAATCGTTTTGTTTACTAACATCTAAAACAATAATTGGAGCATTTGATAAAAACAATTTTGGACTTAGTATCGGATTTCGAAGTCCATTTTCATAATATGATTCTTGAAACGATGTATACATATTATATAATAATGTAAAATAGTTGTGCGTAAAATCTAAATTTAAATTATCATAAGGATAAACATTTGAGTTCAGAATCACTTTAATATTTTTCAACTTAGAATGATCAAATTCGCTTTTGTCTGCAGCTATTGAATTGTTACGATTTTTTTGGAGGCCTACAATGATATAACGAGGTTTTTCCAATTTCGTTGATGTTTTTAAATTCCATAGTACATTTTTCGTGTTTCCGAGTTCAGGGTAAGTATATGTTTCAAATGATCTAAATGGTATAAACAAATGTTTTTCTTTTTCAACTATTTTCATTAACTTTAGACGCTGGCTATCATCAACACTTACATGAGGAACTTTCCAAACAATATTCTTAATATTCACACTACCTGTAGTTGCATCATCACTTTTTTTAATCAATGCATTTAAATCACTATTTGATCTAGTTAATATGAGTTCTATTCGTGAATTTAATAAAAATTTTCTATAATGCTCAAAAAAGCCTAACCAGTATTTTAGTGGTATACATGCTGTAAAATGACCATTTGTGTCTGATATGGATGAACTATTTTTGAAAGTCCATCCAGCATTTTCATAACAATAATAATTATCTGGTGTACTTGAAAGATATCCTTTGATAGAACTTGTAATACCTAACATTCGTGAACTATCTATCTCGATACCATTTAATTCTAAACGAACTTGTTCAAAAAGAAAAGATAATCCATTATTACCTAGTTTTACTTTATCTTTATCTTCAATGTCGCCTTCGATGTATAAAAAGCTTTCATGTAAATAGGGTATACATCAGTTTGTTGTACACATATCCTAATTTCATCATTATTATTAAAAGCTTTAGTATAAGGAATATATGAGTGAAAATCAAAATTAGTTATTTTCGAATCTGACACATAACCCATATCAACTTCCAAAATATCATTTTCAGGCATTTCGATAACTTTTTAATTCAAATCCAAGTTGTCTTAAAATATTTTTATTTTTTGACGTAAGATTTATTTCTGTTTTTCTCCTTGTTGCTCGGTTAGATTTCGTTTTGGGAATGGAAGATTTTTTATGTGACGGTTCCTTTATATCTAATATTTTGTTTTGGAAATTAAAAAATTTCAACCCCATTTTATGAACCGTA